TTTAAGAAATGCATGGAATTCATTGTGTGCAAAGATCCATATTTAGCATTTTCTTCATTCATATGCTATTAATAACAATAGCAAAATGCTGAAGAGCGTTTCAAATAATATACCAAGAATTTTTCTGTAATATAAGAAGCTGAATGATTAGGAATGTGATAAAGGGGACTGTTGCTTTTGAATTTGAACTAGACTAGATAGACAGACAGGTTGACAATAGACAAGTTGGTGGATAGGATAGATGGATAGATGGGCAAGTGGATGAATGGACACAGAGAGGCTTTGTCTAGTGTCTGTATAGAGTTTGAATCCATAGTTATTTAGAATTTAGTGACTCCATCAAGAATATCCAGGTTCTTTTTAAATGATAGACTAGGATAGAGATTTTTAAAAAATATGTACATGGATTTGTTATGAGATATTCATTACTGATTTGGGATAATTTTTAAATATTTTCAGAGTGAAAGAGCATAAATTAGGTAACTAAAAGCTAGTAGTGGTTTGAGACAGAGTAGTGAGATGCTGATGAAAGGCCTACAACCTTAGAGACAGAGGATGCTCAAAATTGGACATTAGAGTAAGTGTAGGACCAACTGTGCAGAACCAGAGAAATGCTTAATTGAGATATCCAACCCTTCTTGGTTGGGATGGCATTTGGAAAAACGAATTTATTCCACAAAAAGGTTCTGACTCTGAAACTCATAAAAAAATTTTGTTTGTTCCAGATTCATGAAAAGTCATGTTGGTCTGTTTGCTGCTTTATTCTCAAGGCCTAGAAGAATGCATGATGCATAGTAAATGCTCAACAAACATTAGATGAGTGAATGAATGAATAAAAGTAGAGAGAAGTTAAGAATTCTGAAGACAGGTTGATTATTGGTAGAATACAAATGTGTAATTTCATTGGTCTAGCAGTTACGGGCTGGATGAAAACAAAGATCAAGAAACTTGAACCATGTTTAAGCACTGGCATGCTACCCTATCTTAGTGACTTAAAAACATTGTGAAAGGACTCTAAAAATCTCAAAATACATGCACACTCTCTCACATTCATGTGAATCATTATGAATACATATTAAATGTAAATTAATATTAAATCCCAGGAGAATGGGATCAAAACCTAATTTGTAGGTAAATATTAACTACTGCAATTTTATAGTAAAAACAGGAAAAAAAACACAAAATGGAATAGTCATGTGGCTATTACTTGCTGACACATCAGTATTTAACTTAAGTTTCTCTAGAAAATTGGGTTTTCTTTTACATAAAAGACTACATTAATGGGAATAGTATAAATTTACCCACAATCACACACATACACTGTCATTTATAGGCTAAAGATGTGCTCTTTTTACCATGACCTTTACATGCCCTTCCAGAGAAAATGTGTTGGGGGAGAAACAGATGATTTCTGTGATCTCAAGTTCTACATGACTGAGTTTAAGGCAAAGATTGAAGCTGAACATGGAAACCAGAGCCAATGCATTGAAGCATATTTTTCCTTCAAAATATTTTATGTACTAAAGTTTGCACAACATCTTGGCAATGACAGTGAGTCTGCGAAGGAGGTGTTTTTGTGTTTCACAGCTAACATAAGGGCAAAAAAATGTGATAGCAGCAAAATATTACTTTAATCATTAATTGAAAGAATGTATATAGAAGAGCACAAGGTAGGATCCATAGACTAGAAGCCACAATTAAAAATCTACAAAACTCCAAAAAGAGCATATATCTCTTATTCTTTCCTTCATACCAGTGAACCTTCACCTCATCACTAGTTCTAAATTTAGAGAACCCTTGGACTCTAGGGAAAGGAGTCCTAGAATATCTTTTAGGATTGTGAAGGAGTGAAACTAAATTTAGCACAGTCCATCTGTTTAATTAGAGAGAGAAAGACACATAGCTACATTTTCTTGGCACATGTGAAAATCTTTTTAAAATCTTAGAGAAGGGTGGTTTCCTGATCTTTCCAGAAATCATTTTGAAGTTCACCAATTTTGCCATTGAAAACTCTGTCCACCTCTTTTCCTTCTCATGGTTTTATTATTATTTCTAAATACTTTTTTTTAAACTCTAGAAAATAGAAAACTTCCTAGCTCGTAATTGACATTCAGCAAATTTGTCAAATTCATTGATGGGTGCATGAGAAACTAGACTAGGTATTAGGTGATCTGGGTCTTAATCCGAAGGTACTAGTAGGTTTCATACTACCCAGTGAAAATTATTAGGCATCACTTCTTACTATCATAACTTTGGGTGAATATATATGTATGGTGTGTGGCATATCTTATCTTGCTACATAATTTGTAAGCTATGGATCTTAACTCTAATTACTTACATAGACTGGAGACATAATACAAATGAAGGAGACAGCTGGCTATAATAAATATGAAGTAGAGGAGACTATGGCCAACTAGAGAGCAGAAGGGCCAACCTGTGTTTAAAACATCTGGGGACTCATGAGATCACATCTGCAGTTCAAATATACCTTATAGTATAAGTATAAGCTCTTTCACAAGGACAATGGTCTCTAAAGCATTCTTTAATATAAAAAAAATACAAAAACATGTAAATAAGCAAATTATTGATAATTGATAAGGAGAATTTATTTAAGATCATGTATTATTAAGTTTTATGTTCCTGACACTCTTCTAAATTTTACCTGATTTATTTTATGTCATTAATGTAATTACCTTCATTTCACAGTACTTGGTAAATGTATATTGGTTGCTGTATGAAAAAATAATTAGATGTTTAAAAAGAGGCCAATATAACAAAGAACATAGTGTTGGAGTCCTGAGCAGTCCTATAACATAGGTAAAAGAAGCTCACCCCCAAAGACAGCCCATTTTTTAACATCTCCATGTAGGAGAAGGAAGGTAATTCCCTGACTCCATCAGTGGCTCATAATCATAACCTGCAACTGAACGGAGAGCTCTCCATTTCTAATAAAGCTGACACAGAACAGCTTTCAGCAGTCTGCAAGACCCGTGTCCTTTGCTTCACAAGGAAAAATCAAACAAAAACAGATTATAGCTCCTTTGTGTTGAGTAACATTAACAGTTATGAACAATTATCATTACTGAGTACTTTCTGTGTGCTACGCATTGGATTATCAACCCTAATTCTTCCAGGAACCCCAAGGAGTTAGTACCATTACTGTTCTTATTTTACAGTTAAGGAAATGCAAGCTTACAGAGGTGAATTAACTTCTTCCAGACCACACAACTAATAAATGCCACAACCAAGGAGGCCCAGTCTCCAGAGCTCATGCTTTTGTCCACTGTATGGCTGTTAAAGAAGTCTGAAAAATCCTTTAAATTTCCCTACCTATGTTTGTCAGCCACTTTTTTTAAAAAAACATGAAATACTCTTTTCAAAGTCTTGTGTAAAACTCCAAATGATGTCACTGAAAAGAGCAGATTTCTATTCTGGTTGAAATAGAGTGTGGAGGGCCAACCCCTGCCTCATATATATTCCTTCTCAGCTTGATTTCTTCTACCACCAATCTTTACACTTCTCTGACTTGCCTCTTTCTCCCAATCACAGGCTCTGCTTCCCTCTCCTTGGTCTGCATGGACTCAAAGACTCTACCCTCAATCCTCCATGTATTTCCCCGTCTACTTGCCCTCCAAGACATTCAATTCAAAGATCTTCCTCTACTACCATTCTGTTAGTGATTCTCAAGTGCTGTCTTCATGTCCATATTCCTAGTGGTCTGTAGACACACAAAATCTTTTCCAAGGGCCATGGTGGATTTAACACTAAAAGAACTTACTGGTTATGGGGATATAAATGTATTAGAGGCTGACTCCTTCAGAGCCTCAGAAGATGTCCTCCAGAGATGGCTTTGATTATTTTGAACAAACTGGTGAGAAGGATCTCCCCACCCTGTTCCTGCTATTTGATTTTTCTTCCCAACACATTCCCTTCCACTCTTGAACGTAAGGGTACTCAGCCCTGAGGAAAGAACAGATTGGTTGGTGCAGGCAAGCCAGAGCATCTGCATTATAACCTGATTCTCAAATGGTTACATCAAAGTCTGGGGATCTTTGTGTTTATATAATCTAAAGTGTGCTTCCATAATTTCTCATCTTTATATACATAAGTGTATTATCCCTTACTTAGGTGATAAATTCTCAAAGGTCAGAACTATGTTTTCTAGGTTTTTTTTTTACCCAGTAGCTCAATCCTAAACTCATCATTGGGAATTCATGAGAATACTTGATGGAGTTTGGCTTTCTGCCCTGTGGGGTCCTGAGCTGTCAGTGCCTACGCACTGGAAAATTCTTCAAATTAGAATGGCAATTCACCAATATTCATCTTATTTGATATGCAATGTGAGTTTTTAATCAATATTTTCTTATCTTTGGTAGGTTAGGTGTTCTACTGGATAATGCTCTGAGATTCCTGAGTTATTGATGAGGGAGTGAAATTAACAAGTGTCTTAGAAGTGAAATCTTTCCAGGTTTCAAAGTGTTTGAAAAACAGAAGTTCATAGGCCTTCCTGCCCTCGTGTCATAGAAAGCTGGGCAAGGAAGAATGCCGTCTGTCCAAAATGGTCATTAAATTGTTAAATACGCAACTTGGAACATCATTTTGATCTCTGGGTCAGCAATAATACATGCTAACTCTAGGGAAAAGGACATACTTTTTACTCTATGGTGTTTGTTCCTGAGAAATTGAAAGGCTTGCCATATGTTTTATAGTACTTTTTTTTTTCTTTGAGGTTCTACAAACACTTTCTGGAATGTGGAGGCTGCCCCATCAGAGTCACATGGGAGCTGATCCAGGGTCCTGATGTCATTAACCTACCTGCTTTGGTTGTTGTGATATGCAGTTATGTCTACATTTCAAAAGAAATTCTCTGATCTCCAACCCATTAAGCATGGTCAATCTTTAACAGGATGAAAAATGTTTGGAATCTAAGCTTGTGATCTTTGTGCTACATTTTTCTTCTTTTAATTCACGGTAGCTTCCCCCTCCTTTCTCTTCTTTAGGATCAACATTCTGTGGTAGGCCAGAACACAGGCCCAAGTCCAAGTCCCAACCCCTGCTCAAATCCAAACACTGGAAGTGGTTACATGAACTCCCAGCAGTCACTGTTGAATCAGCAATTGATGGGAAAGAAACAGACTCTACAGAGGCAGATCATGGAGCAGAAACAGCAGCTTCTTCTCCAGCAGCAGATGCTGGTTGATGCGGTAAAATTTTTTGCTAACTTCTAACACACATACTTGTTGGTTCAAGAGAAGGAGGTCATTCTTTTCCATTTCTATTTGTTGCCCTTTTCTCTGTGCCGACTTCTGTAACAGTGACAGGGTGTCCTGGCTGCAAAGGAGGCTAACTATATATGTTTAAAACACTGCAGGAAAAAAAAAAAACAACTTGACTTTCCAGCTGCTGGACACTTGGAATGCACAGCACCTTGGCTCACTTGCCCTGCCTGGCACAGGAATGCCTAGAATGACTAACATGGGCATTTGAATCAAGCAAAAGAAACCACTGTTGTTCCCCAGCCCCAAGGGGCAGAAATAGTGAATAGAATTTTAATGAACTCATATCCAAACTGATTTTAGAGATAAATGAGTTTTAAAAGCATTTTAAAAATTCAACATGAAGTTTCAAAACTAAGATCTAGCTTTTAAAACACAGAATCTCAGAATGGAAGATAACTTTTAAGAAAATTAAAAGTATATTTCCTATTTTTGCCCCATTTATATGACCTTTTAAGAAAGGCAAAGTCGTGTTTCTCAAACACTACCTTAGCATAAATCCAACTTCAATATTTATCTGTTTATCCCTCTGTATCCTCAGATGTAAATATAAAATATCTGATCTGATCCCTTCCTCCCTGTCAAAAACACAGCCCCATCTATAACAGTTTTCATTCTTTACCTTCAAACTATTTGACCAAATGAAATAAAAAAGGGACAAAGTTATACATCTCCAGAATAAAAGAATTAAGATAGAAAGAAAAGAGAAAAAATAATAAGGGATGGAGATATAACTCAGCAGTAGAGTACTTACTTAGAGTATGTGAGGCCATGAATTCAATCCCCAGCACAGCAAAAAAAGAAAAGAGAAAAAATTGCATCAAATAACTTTATATTCAAGGAGCTTTGTAGTAAGAATCAGAAATGCAGAGTGTTGTAAATACCATAATTATTCAGTAAATATTTATTTAAGTGAAAAAACAACAATAAAGAAGAAAGACCCTTTCTGCTCCCAGAAAAGTGTATAGCCCACTGGGATGTCAAATAAATAGGCCATTGGAATCCAGGGATCAAATCCTATGCTGTAAAAACTACTAGAAATGGTTTCTGAGAGGAAGTTATATCTACTGAAGGTCTGAAGGTACAGTGGGAGAAGGGAGGAAGACTAGGGAGTTGTGCCAGCCCAAAGAAACAGCATATTCAAAGATCCAGAGACAATAAAGGACAATGCATAATACATTGTATAGAATGTGCACAAGGTAGGGAAGTGATGGGCAAGAAAGCCAGAGGACAGAGCTTGATAAGCCAGAATTTACATTGTCTGAAAAATAATGGAGAGGATTTTACAGACTTTAAACAAGAAGTACTATATTCAGATTTGCTTTATAGCTAAAGTATAGACATAGTAAGAGAAAATGTAATGGAGATAAAGATTAAATTCAGCCTAGGAAAATTTAAGATAATCTCCCAGAGAAGATAAATTTTGACTTTGACTTAGAAATGACTATAGCATTCTGCCAGAGAGAGTAGGTAGGATCTCCCATGCCACGCGGAGGGTGGAGCAAGGAAGAAAAGGTAGAGCCTGGTTATATATTTGTTGTTAGTTTAAAACTTCATTATGAAAGATGTAATGTATAAAGAAAAGTATAAATAATAATATTACGATCACATAAGTTTTTTAAAAATGATAAATGGAATAAGTTGGAAGTCCAGAACATATCAGAAGAAATAATGAGAAATAAATTTATTTGATGATGAATAAGGAGTAGTAAGAAATAAAGTTACAGATGACCTTGAGTCCTACCCTGATGTATAAGATATAGGAGAGCCACTGCCTGGATCACAAAGTGATTCCATTGGTTTTTTCCTACAAATTCTAGTTTTGAAAACTTCGGTCTTCCCATCTGTTTTCTTCCCTTCCTCCTTTTCTTTTATCCTTATAAACTAAAGAGCTTAGAAACAAAAAGCAGGAGAGAAAAGAAAATATTCCATCTAAAATTGAGTTCATTGCAACATAGGTATTTTTATTATTATTATTATTATTATCTATTTTTATTATTCCCATCAATACTACTAATCTGATGACATGCAGTGGTTGGATTTCTGGATTTTCATCTCTGACTCAAAGACAAGAAAGTGTGGCATACACATTCCATGAGGATCTAGTCTGGCCCTGGCCTCTCACCAAGCCCCTGTTGAGTCACACTGGGACAGGTGCAAAGGGCAGTGGCATAAGCTGTGGGAGATGCATGAGAATGAGGCTGCACTTTTTGTGATTTTTATAAACCATTCACTTTCCCTTTGTTTGAACACCATTGAGGGTGCCTATGCTTTTTAGCATATCCAGGAAGAAACAGTCTTTGATACCACTTTACATTAGCATATGCTTTGTAGTCCTTTGCAGTCAGTTGGCAAGACCAGATAGACACCTAAATTGAGACATTTTCTCATGAAAGTCTGTTACTCTCTATTCTCCCACCAATGAAGCACAAAGAAATGAGCAATTCCTGTTGCAATGAACATCATCATTACTGACATGTATTGTACACCTACTGTGTGCCAGATACCATGCTGAGTTTTTACAGAATTAAAGGATTATCCTTAAAATAGGAGTATGAGGAAGGTCCAATAATTATACAGATCTCACCTTTTTAAAGATGAGGAGACTAAAGCAAGACAGATATGTACATGTATGAATGATTTATATCTTAGGGTTTTGGATAAAAGAAAGTGGCTTGTCCTGAGAAATTAACTGATAAACTAAATTTCATATTACACGGTAGTAACTTCAGGGATGGCCTGTGAGTTTACATTTGTGTAGGATGGGAATGTCATTCTCTTGTAAAATGTAGCTATCTCCATTCAGCATTAGAATCTAGGCTTCATTACCCTTCTGCCCAAAGCAAAGGCATGGCAATTCTAGGTAATATCTGTGCACAAGGCCATTAGGTCTACCTTATTTGTGGGAAGGTGGTTTAAGGAACTCAAGTTTCAGAGAGGTGTATGTTAACCCTTTGAACAACAACAATTGAGCCCTGGGAGTAAAAGAAAGATTTGGGGGAACACATCAAAAATAAAACTAAATCCAGGTTGAAACCTAGTCTACTGTGGAAAATCAAGGGCCTAATTCCCTCTCTGTCTCTCACACACACACATGCACACACGTATGCACATATGTCCTCTCATCCTTAGTAGAAACACCTAAGTCTGTAAGAAAGATGTTTTTTGGAAAGGAGAAAAATTCAGAAAGTCCTATGCTTGGCTTAAAATTCAAAACTGTCAGTTTACACAATAGTTTACAACAGGGATCCTTGCACATTGCCACATTTGGGTTCTTAGAACATCTCAAGCTGTTTTTTCAAAAAAAAAAAAAACATTTAGGTTTTGGGCAAAACCAGAAAAGAGTTTCACCAACCACTTTTCCCCTTAATTTGTAAACCCGTGCTTAAATAAAATGTAATCCATATGTTTCTGATTCATTTACACTTAGCTCATCAGATTTGTGTTTTATATGAGTTACTTGATGTCCAAAAAATACTGTCTTTCAAGTTTCCTTCTTAGAAACAAGAAATGATTTGTTGTTGTCTTAAGGCCCTTTCCCTCACTTTATAGTAGATGTTTTCTACTCAGAAGGTTTGGGATTTGATGGGAAACTGAGAAGCCCATGGTTGAAGTGAGTTCTAATTAGGCAGAGCACATTTGGCTTCCAGTTAATTGACTCATCTATTACAAGGGTTGTTTTTTTTTCTATTTATTAACTTTTCTGCAATTGTACTGTTCTGTTCTACCTATGCCAATTATTTTTATCTTTGAACATGGAGGTTGCTTTGGAGTATATACAAAATCTGTGAAGCAATTCCAAAAGTTTCCTGATCCATGCTAAGACAGAAAAAAAAAAAGCAGCCCTTGAGTTCCAGAACTGAAATGACATTCAGATCCAAGTTATTTTGTTCTCTGTTGAACATAAACAAGCTTACAAAATATCAACCTCAGACAGTTACTCTGATCCCATGATAAAGTGAGACAAAATAAGGCTACTTCATAATTTTGTCCAAAAACAAACACAAACAAGGTCATTGTGTGACCCACAAAATGCCACACATCTGCCTCCTTTGCTAAATAGATAAATTCTTCTTTACTCAGTCATACAGTCAATGTCATTTTCTGACAGCTTTCAATCTAAAAAAAAAAAAAATTCCTCTTACTTAGACCCTCCCTTAATCACCCAAAGTCCAAATCGTGTGGTGGGCTCTTTCCAACATGTGCTCCTACTGAGACACCCCTATGGTTCTCCAGGATATATGTTCTCCCTTGCTGGAATGAGGTAACAAACCCAATAGGTTTATTCCTGGTTGTCTTTGACTGAAGGCACTGACAATCTAAAAAAGTCAAGTAATATTTATATCTCTTTACCTCTTATGTTAGTCAGCTTTGACAAAGCTGTCACCAAATACCTGTCAAGAACACTTAAAGGAGGCTCCAGAGGTTTAGTTGATAGTCGGCTGAGTCCATTGCTCTAGGGCCAAGGTGAGGCAGAACTTTTTTGCAGAAGGGTGTGGCAAAGTAGTGCTTCTCACTTCAAGGCAGCCAGAAATGGAGGGGGTGCAGCTACAGGGAAAGTGAACCCTTCTAGGACACCTCCCTAGTCACCCATCTCACCTAGTGACCCACCTACACCCATAATCCAATTGCCTACAGTTACCACTGGGTCAGTCCTTTCAAACTAGAATGGATTGATTAGGTTAGAGCTCCCATTGCCATTTTACCACCCAATATTGGTGCATTAACAAAGGAGCTTTGGGGGGACACCTCAATGCAAACCATAACATGTCCCAAACTCACCTATTCTGAAGATCTATAAGTGGCTGGTTCCAGAAGAAAGAATAGAAGGGAGTTTGACAAAATTCTATGCTATTAGAATGGGGCACTGATAACCAGAATATCAAGGAATTCTTGTATTTTTATATGGTAGGAAAAAATCTCAAGTTTGGGACTCAGGATTTGGTCTCTCTTGTATAGTAAGTGACTATGAGCAAGTTACTTAGTCTAACAAAGCTTCCATTTTCTTTCTCTCTCTTTTTTTTTTTTAGTGAGAGTAATCATACTTACCTTGGAAGATTAATTATGAAGGGTCAAAAGAGGGCATATAGTGCCTAATATTTCTTCCTCTTTTGGGTTACCAGATTTGACAAATAAAAATACAGAATTCCATGGTGTTCAGTATTTTATCTGGCAATGCTACTCTTAGGTTTTCCAAACTTGTGGCACCTGAGTCATACATAGATATAAAAACATATCAGGCATGCTACGACATAAAACTAGAAATGTTGTCTCAAAACTCACTGAACTTTAGTTATTATTGAAAACTAATTGCAAAATAAAGGAAATGAGAGTAGTTACTACACCCAAAACACATGTTGTATGTTATGGAGAAAAAATGACATTTCCATGCAGAAAGTTTATTGAAATTGAAAAGATTTGTCTCTGAATTAGCACTACTAAATAAGGCCATACTTTATAACTTTTGACTATCAAATTTTTCCTGTATTCTTACTTTTTTCAATAGCACATAGATTTCATAAGTGAAAAAGTAATGATACAAATTAATATGTTTTCTTTTTGTGTTTTTAAGGAGAAAATGGCTCCACAAGATCAGATAAACCGACATTTGACAAGGCCACCCCCAGATTACAAAGACCAAAGAAGAAATGTTGGCAATCTGCAACCAGCTGCTCAGTATTCTGGTAAGTATTTTTTAAAAATAGTAAAAATCATAACTGTGAAAAGAAGAAAACTGTTCAGTTTTGTTGCGATGAACAAAGGTACAATTTACGCACTCGAGAGGGAGAAAAGGGCACATGCTTCTGCCCTTTTCAATGCTTTATTCACTCAAATCACTCAATACAATTCCACTCTATAGGTACTTTTTAAAAAAAATTTTTTAGTCATAGTTGGACATAATACCTTTATTTTATTTGTTTATTTTTATGTGGTGCTGAGGATTGAACCCAGCTTGTCACATATGCTAGGTGAGCGCTCTACCACTGAGCCACAGCCCCAGACCCTCTATAGGTTCTTAATCAAGAAAATGACTATCCTTAATGCTGGGCACTGCAATAGACATAATCAATTCAAAGCAAACAATTCTAAGTTAACTCTAAGCACTGCAAATATCCTTAATTATGACAGACCTATTACAGACATTCCCTCTGCATGCTAAGCTCAAGTGCCAGATCTAAAGTCTCAAGTCTTAGACCTTAAGTCCAGCAGATGCACACTCACTCAGACCATAGTGATCAGGTCAGGAAGCAATGGAGACTTGCCGGCTGAGGAGAGGGTCCTAAGAAGAAGTTGCTGTTCTCACCAAGGTCAAGATGTGGCTATAGAGTTTGAGAGTGATAAGGATGATGCAGAGGACCAGGCAAATGATGAGAAGAGTTGGGATGTTAGTCTAGGTCCTCATCAGGCTCTCTGGCATGTGGGCATCAGTGTCAGCTGGTTGATTCATTTGCTCCATCATTTATGCTAAATGTTGAGTTTACTACTCGTCCTTTCAATCCCTATCAGCTGTTACCAGGTCTCTCAGTGATGTCTTTCATTCTGGGGTCAGGACATCTGGTCTGCTGGTTTCCACCCTGATCTCTCGCCTCTGCCTTTATCGGGGTGAAGGCAAATGACAATGACTTAACTCTGAGTATTATCAGGGTTGTGGAAAGTACTTATTTTATCAAGCTATGCCCGAGGACAGTATTGGAGGGCTTCATAGGCTTGGCTACTGGAGACTGCAGTTTTATTTTAAAATGTAGTTACTTAGGCTAAGGCCTTCTTAGTTTAGGCCTTCTTTACAAGTTTACACTATCTCCTCCTTTCCCTGCTATCTATAAGAGAAAGCCACTCTATTTTAGTGCTCTTTCTATAATGTGTAAACTCTAAACTAAGGAGTGACTCAAGGTGATGTTTCTCCTCAAAGCTGTCTTATTCTTTTTACATAATATGTTCAATGATTATTTATCTTAAATTGTTCTTGCATCTAAAATCAGTTTCAGAGGTGGTAAGGTCTTGCAAATTGCTTATGAAGAAGGAGATAATATCCCCGATATGAGTAGATCTAATTCTCTTCTCTTTCTTAGGTGGCTCATCGACAGTGAGTTTGAACTCTAACCAGGCTTTGACAAACCCAGTTTCGACACACACAATTTTAACTCCCAATTCCAGCCTCATGTCTACTGCTCATGGAACAAGAATGCCATCATTATCCACAGCAGTTCAGAACATTGGGATGTATGGAAATCTGCCTTGTAATCAGCCTGGCACATATAGTGTCCCTTCAGGAATGAATCAAATGACCCAACAGAGAAATCCAAATCAACTTATAGCCAATCAAAACAACCCTCTGATGTCACGGTCATCTACCTTAGGGCCAAATAACAATAGCAATGTGGCCACTTTTGCAGCTGGATCTGTTAGCAATTCACAACAACTGAGACCAAATTTAACCCACAATATGGCAAGCATGCCAACCCAGAGAACATCCAATGTAATGATCACATCCAACACAACAGCACCAAACTGGGCCTCTCAAGAAGCAACAACCAAACAGCAGGAAGCTCTGAAGTCCACAGGAGTCCGCTTCCCTACAGGAACGCCTGCCGCCTACACTCCAAACCAGTCACTGCAGCAGGCAGTGGGCAGCCAGCAATTCTCCCAGAGGGCAGTGGCTCCTCCTAACCAGTTAACACCAGCTGTGCAAATGAGACCCATGAACCAAATGAACCAAGCATTAAATGGACAAACCATGGGTCCACTCAGGGGTCTGAATCTCAGACCCAATCAGCTAAGCACACAGATTTTGTCTAATTTGAACCAGTCAGGGACAGGGTTGAATCAGTCAAGGACAAGTATAAACCAGCCACCATCCCTGACACCCAACACTTTTCCTTCATCCAACCAAAGTTCCAGGGCTTTTCAAGGAACTGACCATGGCAGTGACTTAGCTTTTGACTTCCTCGGCCCACAGACTGATAACATGGGTCCTGCCCTCAACAGTGATGCTGATTTCATTGATTCGTTATTGAAGACAGAGCCTGGCAATGATGACTGGATGAAAGACATCAATCTTGATGAAATCTTGGGGAACAACTCCTGAAGGAGAAAGGGGAGACAGTTCACAAACTCGAAGCACTAACGGCAGAATTTTACAAGGACGCTGTAAAGGCCAAACTTTTGACTTCCACATGGATTACATGAAGATACTGTGGCTTAAAAACAGAGACTAGCTGTAGTGAACATATTGGTCCAAATTCTTTTTTAAAATATGAAACCTGAAAGTAAAACATTGGGATCTCTTTTCCCCATCCAAACTCCAGGACACATTTTCCAATTTATCCAAACAGAACTGTGATATTAGTGTGTAATTAATTGTGTAAAATAGACCTCCCAAGCTCTTTTTCTCCCTGAAAGAAAAGTAATAGAATTTGTAGCTTGTTTCAACCCTGTGTCACGGGGAGGTACTAGTTCCAAGCAACAAGCAGCAGATTCCTTAATTTACTCTCATAGATATGTGTGGTTTAATTTTCCACTGTCTTTTCATTTAATTTTCCTAAAGCTTGCAGGATAGATTGAAATGTTATAGATTTGTTTGGAGTAACTGAATGGTGTTCTAGGTGAGGGAAAGCCAGAATCTAGAAAACATCCAGCTGATGATAGAATTTCTTCCCTAGATTTGGTCCTCATTTTTGCAATTGTCCCACATATTCTATACTTCAGTGGGATGTTGTATCTAGTAATGAAATAAGAATGAAGGGCTGCATAACTCGATGTTGGTTTCCACAACCATCTGAATCCATTCCCTACCAAGTTTTAGATACAAATAAGACTTGTCCTAATCATACTGAAATACTGGTGCACACCTGTCTGTATCAGATTTCATTTTTTAAAAAAACCGACACTGGACCTTGCCATAAGGAGATTTATTTGGCCAGAAGTAGCCTGAGGTATTATTTCTTATGATTAATTCTCACTGGTTTGTTCCCGAGGTGAGTGAAATTGAGCCCATCTTCCATACTAATTTTGATAACTAGAGAATGGTTTGTAAGAAAAGGAAGTTGGAAATAAAAACTAAGATAAGAAAGTATTGAGTTTTAATTAGAGGTAAAAGAAACAGAAGTAGCAGGTAGGAGTGGGTACAAATCTACTTCATAGAGTTTAGAGGAAAGCATAATTGGAAGAGAAAACATTATTTTAATTGGGGTGAATAGCTAAATAAGATGTAGCATGTTAGTTGTGGCCTATTCATTCTTCTGTCCCTGATGTGATAATTCCTTGCCACATGCTATGGGCCCTTCATATATAAGTTTTATCCCACAGGGCTGAGTACTATATCAAACAAAGTTTTTATTGAGTAATTTGATCTCAGTACCCATATACAGATGAGCTAAAAGTGGAGAAGATGTGCAGATTTGGGAAGGATGCAAAATATATTAATTACAGAGGAGCAAAGGTTATTGTCAGCATTTTAGTTATACATTCATATTTAAGTATCAAATGTACTTTAATTGAAGTCATTTAAAAACCAAGTCTTTAAATATCTGTTCAAAAAAAAAGACACTTTTTTAAAATGAGTCCTGCCATATTGCCCAGGCTGGCCTTGAACTTGCGATCCTCCTGCCTCATTCTCCTAAGTAGCTGGGATTACCGGTGTGCACCACCATGGCATTGAAAGAACACATTTTGAAAGTTCTGCAAAGCCCTCTCCCAGTCTTTAAAAACGTCTAGAGGCACCCTCCTTCCTTTATAGAATACCAACATCACTGGCTCAGATTTTCTGTGCTAATTTGTAAATATAAATAAATGATTTGTTTTGTAAACTTTTGTAAAGAATATTTTGGTAGAAATACTTAAAACATATACTTTGGGTTATATTTATACATATGTGAAATAAATATACTATCAAAAGGTTATATTTTATACAAAAAGTAAATTGTTACCTTTTGTATGCTAATATACAAAGTTTTGTACAATAATATGGTTTATTTTTAGCTCTACACTTAAACCATAGGTGGTCAAGTGGGAACCTTTGAAAATTATCAAGAGGCTTGTTAGACAAACTTATATTCTGAAACCTTAATAAGAAAGCATTCCAGGTTTCAATTCTTTCCTTTTTTTCTGCTCTCAAATTCTTTATTAAACCCATAGTTCTTGCGTCTTATTTTATTACTCTACTGTGCACATTGTATTCGTCCTTGTTGCATGTGGTCTACTGTGTATTTTCTCATTTTATAAAACAGTGTTTCTCCATGCAAAAAGAAAGGAAAAATAATGTACATATGAACGCTTTTATTTCATTGCTCCTCCATGTTTCTGTATATATCTGCCAGCACTTCCCAGTTACACTCTGTGATTCAGTTTATTTTTACCCTAACATAAATAGTATGTTTTGTAGTAGCTATCAAATTTAAGAGATAAAGCAATCAGAATGTTTGGATTTTCTTCTATCTTAATGTGAATTTCATAATTAATGTCTATTTATTCAGCTATTCATTAAAATACAGGATTCTTTGGAACAAATGGTGTAATCTATAGTTTCTGTTTGTTGGCAGCCTATTACCAAAGATGATGCAATTTTCCTGAAAGCTGAGATAATGACAATTTGATAGACATATTTAGTGAGAACCTTAGGATTTACAACTTAAGAGCTGTTGGAATACAATCTTCCACTTGTAGAAATACCAGACTACTTAATTGTTGGCATTGTTTATCATTTTGATATATTATACAAGCAGTAGAAGTAATTTTTCATCCTTTTTTCAAGACAAAGACTAGAAAGCAATTTAAGCAAATAATTCATTCTTGGTTTTGTGTTAAGCCCTGAAGATAAATAACTCCGCTCTAAGTGAATGCACTAATATTACCTGCATTACTGTAACTTAACCCATAACTGTAAAGATTTCTACTTGTAAAGTAAATATTTGTATTGTATGTAATTCCATGTGTGAAAAATAGTTTTTAAAAAAATTCAGAGGTGGTTTTCTTGTATGAAGTCATACTTTCCATTCACCAATGATATTGTTACTACATCCCAGAAAGTTCTGAGAACTATTAATAGTAATGGATACTTACAGTCAAATTTATTCTGTAGGAAGCTTTTAGTACTAGCTAAATGCTGAGTCATGTCATTTTAATGTTCTTTAATTCACTTAGAAAGTTTGTATTAAAATTTTATCTGCACAGCACCTATTAATTACTGCCTAATTCTCAGGCATTGTGGGGATTTGTCTGACTTGCTTTGTGGCATTTGGTCAGACCGGGCTGAGGGAACATAGGGCCCCCAAACCACAGCCTGCCTGAGCACCTTTACTCAGCCCTTCTTGAGAGGCAAGGAGGCTGAGAGAAATCTGGGCCTCTAGGAAAAGAAGAACCTTTCTGCATTCTCTTGCCCCACGGTTGTATATGTTGGTAGGGTTCCATTGTCCCTTTCCCCTCTGCCAAAATATGTATGCAATTCTCTGTTTTACTAGCATTATTAATGGAATAATAATAAAATTGATATTTTATATACTCCTTGTCCCAAAGAACTTGAAAGATTGGATAGTAAACACATAAAGCCAACACCAACAAAGATTAAGTATTATACACCATACATGAAGAGAAAGAAGTGTGTAATTCCAAAATTATCTCTGAACCTCAATATGTAGCCAGGGAAAGAATTTGAGACAGGTGATGGGAGAATAAATGTTAGTACAAAAGAGAGAACAGCTCAAACTCCTTCTATACTATGGTTGCTAAAGGCAGTTCAAATTTTTAATTATTTTATCCACAATTTCCATTTTTTATTTCCATAAGTGTTTTCTCATGTTTTTTTTTTTTTTAAATCACTCCAAAAAAGGATGTTTGGGGCTGAACTATCTACATTCCTTTCCAACTCTAGAACTTTGTAATATTTTTTTCCCAAAAATTAAGTTAAAAAGTTAACTGAAAAGACTCAACAACATCCTGTTTAAAAATTTTTAAAAAGGCATTAGACTCTCAATATTTCAAAAGCTTCCACTTTGTTGGTGAACTTTATTTAACAAAACTGCCATCTCCTTAAACCATAAATAAGATTTATAAGTGGTCAGAACTGGACTCCTAACAAGTAGAAAATTAGTAATACAGATGCCTGCTGCCTAACATCAAGCCCTGAAGATCACAAAGGAGATGTGACATTAAATGCTCATTTTCCTGTAAGATCACAGAATCTTATAAAGAAAATATTTGCCTACTGCGGAGGAGAAAACTATAACTTAAGTAGTCAATAAACTCTATTGGGCATATGTGGATGAAATTTTGTGAGATGTAAATACCTATGTAACATCTTCTTAAGTTCCTCCATTAGGCAAAGTGCATGTTCGCCCTAGAATCTATTTCATTGGCAGTAATAATATAACTAAAACCCTGTACTATGATAGTTGGGAAACACATTTCTCTTAAATTTTTTTAAACCAAATGCTGTTGTCCCTGATTATATTAATAGAAAGCTTTTGTTTATTTATATAAACAGCATTTTAAATTCCCTTTCACCAAATTTAAGTGCTCTTTAGCTCCAGCATGAGTATACAGATGCTTTTTTAATTGTTAAGATACTTTTGGCAAAAGGAAAGAAGGATGGAAGGAAGGGAGGGATAAAGAAGAAGAATATGTAAATGACTACATACATATAGAGAAGCTTCTTATAGGGTTCTTTCAGCAAAAAGAGGGAGGGATAAATAAAGGAAGGAAGGAAGGAAGGAAGGAAGGAAGGAAGGAAGGAAGGAAGGAAGGAAGGAAGGAATCATATCCCAACCACCTGGACTGGCTAACACAACTACTACTCATAGCAGCTGGTTCTGGGTTTAGGCAGAGTTGACTCCAGCAGCCCAACAATATCGTCACACCGTGGATCCTTATAATCTCTCATTGTTACTTCCCTATGTCTTGGCTCAGACATGCATGTCCTCTCATGGTGGCAAAGTGGTTGCTAGAAGCTCCAAACCTACATCCTTACAATTCCAAGTCCAACATAAACATGCAAGAATGATTCCCTTTCAGAAGATCTAACTTTGTCTCTCACTGACTTTGACTAGTATGTGTCCCTTCAGTGAACATTCACATTGGTCAGTCCTGAGTCAATGCTTATCCCTGTAGGTAGTGGAAGTATTAATATTGACCAAATCATCTGGACTGAGGGTGGGAAAACATATGATTTCACAAAGAAAAAATAATTGCAATTATAAGAAAAAATAGACATAAAATTAAATTTAAAAATGTCTTCTGGCTGCCCTATTTCCATATACACTGTTTTTCCCACAACTTTAATTTCAAAATCTGATAATCCACATGTATTCACCTCCTTCCCAGAAGCAATTCAAACCTTGTCTACTTATTGCATCATCCTATTCCATCACAACTAGATAAAGTAAACTATTTTCTGCCAGGCTAACATGGACCAGCAATCTTAGACAAAAAGATGTAAGCAATGAACACAGAGTTATGAATTTAGAGTGATACAACAGTAATAATGAGTTCTCTTTGGAAGAGAAACTAATGTGTTAGCTTGCTTTTTGTCACTATAACCAAAATAACCTGACAAGAACAACTTATAGGAGGAAAAGTTTCTTTTCATTCAAGTTTCAGAGCTTTAGTCCATGGTTGGCCAACTCCACTGCTTCTGGGCCCAAGATGAGGCAGAACATCATGGTGGAAGTGGGCATAGTGGAGTAGTATTGCTCTATTCACAGCAGCCAGGAAGCAGAAAGAGAGAGGGGAAGGAAGGGCATGGAACATGCACCCTTCAACAGGCTCTTGTCATGTCCCATCTGCCTACAGTTACCACCCAGTTTGTCCATTCAAACTAGGATGGACCAGTCAGGTTACAGTTCTCATGATCTAATCATTTCATCTCTGAATATTCTTTCACTAACAAAGGAGCTTTTGGAGGACATCTCATATTAAATTATAACAATATATACAGATCACATTCTTATTAACAAGAAGAGTAAAGAATTCTGCTTGAGCATTCAAATTAATGACTGGAGGAGAGTCATTAAAAAACTCCTCTCTTTCCTCAGGATGCACACCACTACATTTTCTAGTGGAATCATTTTGTCCTTACTCAGGGAGGATATTATATTGCATGCTTAGAAGTAACCAGAGAATCAGACCTCTCATGTCCCAGTCAAATCTCCTACTGGATCCTATCTCTCTCATTTAGTGTGCAATAACTTTAACTTAAAGCAGCAAATTAAACGTTTTAAAAAGAATAAGCTGATCAAGGAAACAAAAACTACTTTAAATATTCCAAAAGTCAAAGAGACTTTAATGCAAGGAATTGGTTACACAGGTGATGGACAAATTGAAAAGTAAAATGGGAGTCATTAAATCTTCCAGGATGAAAAGACAAACAGATAAGGGGTTACGGTCACTAAGCAGATGCTACAATATTGGCTGACCTGTCTGGTAGGAGCTGGATCCAGTGCGAGATTTCAGCTATTAATGGAGATGTCACTAATGCAGAGGGAAAAGAAGAAACACAATCTCCCCCACCCGCACCTAGTCATCTTCCACTCTCCAGTAAATGCATTTCATTTGCTGAACTCAGCTAGAATATAGTCTGGGGGAAGGTGTTGTAAATCAGAGCAGAAAGGAGCTAAGGAATAACCTGCCAATAAACAGGATCATGTCTAGCAAAACAAAATTGCATATTACTGAACTCTCAGCTTTTTTGAATTGCAGACCTAGAGCAAAAGGCAGCTTTCTTAGAAAACACTAATTTTTCTCCTTCTCTGTCTTCAGATACATTAATTTAATGTAAATTTCTCTATTTATTATAGAATGGTATCAATTAGGAACCTATTCTGTTGCAAGTATATGAACCTCAACTAATGATGTTTTAAATAGAAAAGGGTTTTAAAAATAGTCTATTGACTTTAAGAATCATATATTTTTCATGAGCTCTTATCTGTAAAATTAGGTCATCATGTACAATTGATGTGAAGAAAAAGTATTATGTCATTGTTTAATGCCCGCAGGTTTTTTTTTTTCCATTTTTAGTGGTAGGTGGAATAATGGTGTGTCTTACAATCAACAGCATCTTGATTTGATGAAGTGCAGTATTTGTTTGAAGAAACAGGGACTCTACAAGGGCAGTCCCAGCATGGAACAATGATCAAATAATGCTATCAGGTACCCAGACTGTTTTCACCTTTCATCTCTGTCCTGAGGATGTGTAGAAACTTTCTTCCTCATTCTTGTCATTTTCTGGTGACAACACAGTTATCTCTGCCTCATGTTTAAGTTCCAAGCTACAAAATTGAAATGGAAAAATATGGAAGTCCAAATATACTGCTACAGCAAATCTTTTACTTTTCATTTGGAAAAGGCATCTAATTCAGAGACTTAAGTAAATATACCTCTTTAGTCATGTCCATGTTATGGCCTTTCAGATCTTCATGCAAGGCTGAGTGTCAAGTACTTAGAGTTACAGCTTCTGTAGTAGAAGGAGGATGGCAAGGGAGCAGATGGTGAGAAAGGACAACAAGTAAAAGTCTAAAAGCAATCATGGTAATGATAAACATACATTTGAGATATTGATTATCTTTGAAGGAATTTAGAGAAATATGATTGGAAAGTATACATGGGATCCTTAATTGTAATTGCATCATGTTATTTTCTAAGTTGGATGAAACTAAGGGTTTTTACATATATATATTTTAGTATATTATTAGGAATGAAAAGAAAGCTAAGTCAAATTATTTGGAATTATCACTAATGGCATTCAGTTGTAAATAAATGAAGAATTGAATCATGATTGATTTGGATTTACAGTATGCAGATGAGATACTCTCCTAGTTGAAATAATTAAAATGATACATTTAATTTTAAAATTTACTAAAAAACTACAGAAATAAGAACCATGTGGCACTGGTATAGATATAAACATACAGACCCATGGATAGAACTAAAAGCCCAAAAATAAACCCTTATGGTTTTGGTCAATTGATTATTGAT